CTACAATCTTGCTTGGCGGTTTAGATAATGTCATCGGAGATGAAGGTGCAACAGAAATTAGCAGATTAATTCGATTAAATAAACAGATTCGTTCGATTGATCTTACATTTAACGGTATTTCACAAAAAGGTTTGATTGAATTACGAGATGCATTAAAACAAAATCGAACACTGACAACATTAAAAATTCTACAATTTGGACAGACACACGACGGAATAACAAAGGAAGAAATATATAACATGATTGAACAAAATAAAATCGAATGGGGAAAACAAATACTTGACCATAATAGAACGGATAGCTCGCCATTATCACAATCCAAATGTTTAGAAAAAGGTCAACAATTGAATGATGATATCAATTTTCCTGAACATGTTATGGAAATAATTAGTTATTACAGGACACATTAAATATATATCATCATGAATCTATTTTTTCTATTTTAAAAATATAACCTAAACTATTGAAGGAAATAAAATTTACTAAAAAACAACATCATTCGAATCATATTCTAAATAAATTTTTTGCATGTACTGATAATTTTTAGGGGTGTCGGTATAAGGTTTGTGTATGGTTGCTGAGAAGAACAAGCATCACACCCACACCTACCCCATTTTTTGAACTCAAATCGATATCCCTGGCTTCGAACGTACAGTGACTCGCTTATGTGGCTTCTGGAGGGCACAACTGTGCTCTCATCACTTGAACATATTCGAATGGATAGAGCCAGCAGTTCAGACAGTTTTCTTCACATTCTTCACCGATCGTCACGTTTGAAATATTTTCAAGCGGATTTTCGGCTTGAATCTTACAAAGACCCATAATCATCACCGATCTATATACACGATGCCCTTACAAATTTACATTTTAGATTAGGTTGTCAATTTCACATGCCAACAATTATGTATGTGTTTCAGTCAACAACTCGAGTACGTAAACTTACTTTCACAGCATCCAAAAGTCTTCATTATACAGTTGTCGATCCACATTTGTGGGAGAGTATTTTGAGCAAGTATTTCCCGGAACTTAAGTGGCTCTGTTTACGACTGTCTTCACACATCAATCATACAT